CTTCCTTGCATCATGATTTTTATAATACTTAAATTTTATAACTCTCTGAAACTCCCTATAGGATGACTGAAAGATGATTTTCCTACCAGAAAGTGGCCTAGAATGATCAGTATATCACCACTTATAAGTTCAAAATTCTTATTAAAGCTCCGTATTCATCCTTCTTTCAGCTATACATCTTCTACCTTATGGATTTTTTAAAGCTTCTGTCACTACCTTAGTAGTGTTCTGAGTAGCTTGACTTTAATGTGCTGTGTATTTTACTGATGACCTTCAAAAAATTATCATGCATTTTTTAAAAAAAATAAATTTATTTATTTATTTTTGGCTGTATTGGGTCTTTGTTGCTGTGCGCGGGCTTTCTCTAGTTGTGTTAAGCGGGGGCTACTCTTCGTTGTGGTGCGCGGGCTTCTCACTGTGGTGGTTTCTCTTGTTGCGGAGCACGGGCTCTAGGCACGCGGGCTTCAGTAGTTGTGGCAGGCGGACTCAATAGTTTTGGCTTGCAGGCTCCAGAGTGCAGGCTCAGTAGTTGTGGCGCACGGGCTTAGTTGATCCACGGCATGTGGGATCTTCCCGGACCAGGGCTCGAACCCGTGTCCCCTGCATTGGCAGGCGGATTCTTAACCACTGCGCCACCAGGGAATTCCTGTCATGCATTATTGAACATTTAATTATTAAATTAGAAAGATGATAACTTAAAATCTGATTTTACATACTCAGTAAATTCCTGTGATTAGAAAATTCTCTCATGGTGTTCTATTTATAATTAATATACCAAGTAAAACTAATTAGAAGTATCTGAAACCCCTGGCAAAATCTGTAATTAGACATGTGATTCATAATTAACTGACTCTTCTTATTCTTGCCTTTTCCTCTCCATTTGAATTAATTACTTGTGTTCTTCCTTAGTGATACCTGTCTTCATGTTCAAGACACTGATTAGAGTTCAGTGATCACTGTGGTATTTTTATAGAGAGTATGGTTTTTATAAGAACTTTGTTTTTAAACTTTGCTTAATAATGTAAAAAAAAAAACAAACCTTGAATCATATGCTCTATAAAGTATCACACTGAAGATTTTTGCCCACATTGTCAAATTAAGCATTTATTTTATCAGAGGCTGAAGACAAACATAGAAAATAGGCAGACTTGACCACTTTTCCTGTGTTGTACTTAAGGACCTGGATTTTTCTTGCCAGTCTGATCACTGTCTGCATAATTTTGACAGCATATCCATTGGCCTTGGGTCATTGAGTAGAGCTGGTATTAATTCATTCATTATTTTGATTAAAAAAACAGTTCATTAAAGGTCTACCATATGCTAGGCTTTGGGTACCAAGAGGCAGGAATGATTTTCAGAGTATTTGTCAGTCACTACAACACAGACACCAGCCAGTCAAGATGGCCATAGCACTGGATTCAGGGTCTTGAAGGACCCCTGTATTCTTTATACTGCATCAGGCTTTGCTGCTTTTGTTGTTGAGTTGGCGTGGTGGTGGTGGTGATGGTGGGGTGGGAAGACTGGGCCATCAGCAGCAGGTACCTTAGAGCTGGTGAAGTTTGGGGCAGTGACTGTTTGCCAGACCATATTACGGAAGTATTTCAGCACAACCCTTAATGCTGTACTGGTATGTACCAGCTGAATATTAGCTCTGCCAAGAGGTGTTCAGTCCTCTGACTGTAGAGTCAGAGTTACTACCCAGTTTGAGAAGTACTTAATGAAAGTGTATAGACAGTACATAGGGGAAGGTTTGCATGAGCCTTTTGGGGGAAAACTAGTAAAGACTTCTATGGTGACTAGAAATTTGCCATAGTCAGATTTGAGGAGGAGGTTCTAACCAAGCTGAGGGGAAAATAGCATTTGCAAAGGCAAAGGAGTGTGAAAGAGCATGGTGGATTCAGACATGAACAAATAGGAGAGATGGAAGATGAAGATGCCTTTCTCTGACCTTTGATTTTTTAAGCTGAATAAATATATATTAAGACCACATTTGTATCTTTGAAATTGCTCCATTTTTGGTAAAGAACTGCAAGACTGTTTGATATTCAGTTTCTTTAACTGTATCTAATTATTTTAGGTGTAGGGAAAGAAGGGAGAATAGGAATTTGTTACAGTTCAGGGCTATACTAAAGATTGATAGAGCAAGAGTACAATGAGAAAACTTCTCTGCTGATTCACTGAGAGGCTTCTAATGAGCAAACACAAATTCAAACAGATTGAGGATGGTAGTTTTTTTTTTTAATGACATAAAACTGTTGCCCATGAGGCTTTTTGGCTGACATCATGAAACTAATTTTGCTTAATAACTATGGAGGCCTACAAATTCAAACGTGTGGAAAAGGAAGTAAATTACTGGCCTGTCAGATTCCTGTTGCCTATCATCTTTTATCTGAATAGCAGCTTTTGTTTCCAGACTGTCAGGAGCAAGTATGTGGACCCCTTCAATGTTGTATTTGTATATGCTTGAATAATTTAATTCAGAGCCATCTAAATATAGCAAATCTGCAACAGTGAAAACGCTTTATCTTCTTACATTTGTGTAACTTAGGGAACATGTCTATGGATATCTCTTCTCATTTCTGAGAGCTCTTGAGATATGTCAAGGATTTGTAGGGGTGTAAGTTTTGCTTTTATTGTCAGAGTTGATGACTCATACCTTTGAAATATAATGAACTCATATGGACAGCAGAATAAACATTTTCTCTGTGACTGTTCAACTCAATGAATGATTTGAAAGCACCCACTATGTGCTAGGAATTGTGTGGAATACAAAGGTGAACTACTGGCATTTTTCTGGGTATCAAATTATGTGATTTTTTTCTCTCAAGCTATATTTAGTAAAAATGACTGTCTTGATGGTGTATGTGTGTAGCATAACAACAAAGGCTACAATAAAGGCTTGAGTTACTGGTAAACAGATTATTTGCTTCAAGGAGCGTTTTGAAAATAATGGTTTAAGTTCTTTTATGGCTTCATTTTTTACAAGATTCTCAATTAATGTTACTTATTTTCTTTCTACTTCCCATTACTCTGAATAATTAGAAATGAGGAGTATTTTCTGTGAAATATATATTAAATCCCAATATTAATTCAACAAGTGTTTAGATAGCATCTACTAGGCCCTAGGTATGGAGTGAGCTGAATAGCAAAGTTTGCTATCCATAGAATAAAATTACTCAGTAGAAAGGAAGCTAAAATAATAAAAATGTGAAAACTTTCAGCTCTTTTGGTATGCTTAATGTTATGAAAATAACAGAGTCAGTCTTAATGCACAGAATTTACATTTGGTTTTGCAGGTATGTTGTATTTTTGTTGTTGTTCACAGAGGCTATCGGAAAACTTAAGAAGGTGTAGACTGTCTACTTTTTGAATACTGGTTACCTTAACCAGCATATTACATCTGTGTTTTTCTTTTTACTTATTTCATATTGTGGGTAGCTCAGTTACTTTAGAAATTAAGGACATTCTGTGTGCTATCACTTGGCTAGAGCCAGATCTAGGGAAACAAAAAGATGGTGAGAATCCTTGCTGTAACAAATTGCCCTTTTGTACCTTTGTTCATTCCATTTCTACTTCCTGGAATGCCCCCTTTTCTTATCAAAGTCTTTCCCAAAACCTTACCTAAACATTTCCCTTGACATTTTACTCTTTGGAATTTCTATAACATTTTGTTTGTTGCACTTTTTGGGATATTTATTTTTTACTTTTTTTGTATGTACCTGAACTATGTTTTCTTTTGAATTATAAGCTTCTTGATGGTGTCATGAATGTTGAATTGGGCCATGAACTTTTAGTTTATTTCCAGTTCTTTACAGTCATAAATGTGCTATGATATAAATCTTTGGATTTTTTATTATTTAGAACAGAGTTCTGAGAGAGAAGTTACTAGGTCAAAGGGTTTGAACTTTTTAAAGCTCTTGTGTATTGCAAAATTGCTTTCCAGAAAGACTTTACCTATTTACACTACCACAATAGGGGTATGTGCAAAGATGCCCATTATATTGTATCATTATATTACTATAATTATGTTATTATATTACATTATAATTTGTAGCTATCAGTATAGCTGTAGATTATGGTATAGTAACAATCCCCAAAATCTCAGTGGTTTAATACAACAATGTTTACTTTTTGCTCGTGCTACATGTCTAACACATATCAGCAGGGGGTCTTCTCTCTCTCTTTGGAGTCATTTAGTGAACCATCCTGATCAGAGCTCCATCTGGTTACTTCTTTCCATAATCACTGCAGCAGTGGGTAGGTCTTCCAGTTGTATACAGGTTCCTAAAGCTTATGCCTAATAATATATCATGTCTATGTACATTTTAGTGGCTAAAGCAAGTCATGTAGCCAGAACTAAGTTGAAACAGGGCAGTGAAGTGCAGTTCTACTGTGAGTCTAGGAAGGAGGAGGACTGGAACAGCACTAATAACTAACATCTTATTTAAAAAACAACTCAAATTTTATGGATGAAAGATGATATCTCAATTTGATTTCCTTTGCCAATGTAGGTGAAATTTTCATAACTTATTAGCCATTTGTTTTATTTAATCTTCCCTTTTCTTGTTTTATAAACACATGCTGTTGGTTTACTTTTATATTTCCATATTTTTGAATTCTGTCGTTTTTGTGAGGATAGGAGGTCATGGTGGTGGTATTATGGGGAGTGCAGACTTTTAGAAAATGCTTTCTGTTTTGAAAACTTGAGCAGGTGAACAAAAATTATTTTTCTTGAATTGATCCCCCTCACCCTTGTTAATATAATATATGTTTTGATAAGTTTTATATTTCAAGATTTGTCAAAATGTTTAAATAATTATAGACAATAGAAAGTCTAGCAGAATTAAGATCCTTGACATTTTACAAGCTTCTAAAGAACAACTTGAGCACAAAATTTTAGGGGCTAAACGATCAAGTTAGGGTTCTTCTCTTGAAAAAATGAAGTTCCCTACTCAGATTTAGTCATATTGACCATGTCTTTTTCCTTTTTTTCAATTCAGGTATCTGCCTAAACTGGAAGTTATGCTATAGAGATTTCTTTGTGGATTTGTCTGAAAACCTAAGGTGAGATATTTTATAAATGCATTTGCCTTTTAAGATATATTTTATAATGAGAAATAATTGTTTCTGAAAAATTTAAGGCATTAAAAATTTAATGTCTTTTCCTCTGAGAGTTTTAATAGGAGGCAAATACTATTTATTATAAAGCTACATATATAGCATGCTTACTTTTACTTTGTAGGACATTTGATTGAAACAAATGAAGCTGGTTCTAGCAATTAAAATAGTTTTGAGTGAATTTTTCCTTTGTTTTTTATACTCAAAGTTTGAAGTTCACACTGCTGTTCCCTGACACGCACTTGAGAAAGATATTGGCATTATAATCTGATATTCTTGAAGGCAAACCTTCAAATTAGTTAAGTCATAGATTACAACAACTGGTAACTATTTTAATAGTTCAGTTATTAAGAGTTTTCTACCACTCTGTTCTCTTGGAGTTGATTATTTTCTCTAGTTCCCTCTGTTTGGGGGGGTGCTTATAAAATAAGGGTATATCCTTTAGTATGTTAGTGTTTGGTTTCTATAGATAGCATTCCACTCTAAAGATCGTATCATAGCTCTTTCCCTTTTCTTATATGTCTTGGCTCAAATCTTCTTCATCTTTTAATTTTTTAAATGTAACATTATAAGTCCATCATCTGGTCTTTCCACCTTGAGTCCAGCTGCTCTCTAAGCCATTCTTGTCACACTTACGAGGGTGCTTTTTCTGAAAGATAAATGTCATCATGTTAGTCCATGACTCAGAATCCTTCAGTACCTTTACAGTGTTCAAACGATATTTTAGACTCCTGCAGAGCAGTATAATCTGCTTTATATCCATTTTTCCATCTCACTAGTGCTCTAGGAATGTTAGGAACTAAAATTTTAAGAAAACAGCTTTACTGAGAAATAATTTACATACCATGAAATTCATCCATTTATTTAAATTTGATGTAATTTATTGTATTTACAGCATTATGCAACTATCACCACAGTCTAATTCTAGAATATTTTCATCACTTCAAAGAGACATCAGAACTCATTAGCAGTCACTATCCATTCCTCTCTCTACTCAGTCCCTGGCAGCTACTAATCTACTTTCTCTCTATAGAGCTGCCTATTCTGGACATTTCATATAAATGGAATTGTACAGTATGTGGTCTTTTGTGACTTATTTCTTCAATTTAGCATAAAGTTTTCAAGGTTCATCCATGGTTCATCATGAACCAGTACTTCATTCCTTTTTATGGCCAAATAATATTATATTTTATGTGTCAGGCGTTTAGCTGAGCTTGTGAGAGAGAAGTGGGTTGGGGGGCAGGGGTAAGCACTGAGCTTCCAGGTATCAAGGTAGCTGATTAAAAACAACATTCCAAAATGAAAGTAACATTCTAGTCTTTATTCACTTACTGAGATAGTATAAGCAAGAGGCTAAACCTGAGAAAGTGCAGGCCCTCTCACGCGGGGGAACGGGAGGGGGGGGGGGGGGTTGTCTCACTGCTGAGGGAGCCCCAAACAAAAGGTTCCTGCAGTTTTATGGACCCAGGGCTGGTTGGAGGGTGAGATGGAAGGACTTGGAGTGGAAAAGTACTGAGTCAGAGTAGAGAAAAAGTGTCTTTAATGTTTCCTTCCTAATGAGAAGCTCTCAGAAGAGGCACCTGAAGAAAGGCCTCAGCTGCAGGCCACATATAAAGAATCTCTGGAAGAAGGTACCTGGGCTAGGGATACAGCTGTGCTAAAGAGCATGGTCAGTCAGGGGTGCCTGGGTCCTTGACTGCAACTCTCTTCAGAGACTGCAGTGCACTGACTGTGCGCCAAGTCTGGTCAGGGGAGGGCAGATTTCCTATGTGAGGCCTGCCAGGGCCTTTGTAGTCATTTATGGTCAGGTTGGAAAAGTCACACGTCGATTTCTTGGTCAGGAGCTGGACTCTGCAATATGCATGTACCATATTTTGCTTATCTGTTCATCAGTTGGTGGACTTTTAGGTTGTTTCTACATTTGGGTTATTATGAATATTTTGCTATGAACATTTGTGTATAAGTTTTTGTGTGTACATGTTTTCATTTCTCTTGGGTACATACCTAAGAGTGGAATTGCTGGGTCATTTGGTAAATCCATGTTTAACATTTTGAGGAGCTGCCAAACAGTTTTCCAAAGAGACTATCTATCATTTTTCATTTCCACCAGTGATGTATGAGGATTTGTTTCTCCATATCGTCACCAACATTTGTTATTATCCTCTGCCTTTTTTTCTTTTTTTAAATTACAGCCATTCTAATGGATGTAAAGTGGTCTCATTGTGCTTTTTTTTTTTGCCGTACGCGGGCCTCTCACTGTTGTGGCCTCTCCCGTTGCGGAGCACAGGCTCCGGATGCGCAGGCTCAGCGGCCATGGCTCATGGGCCCAGCCGCTCCGCCGCATGTGGGATCTTCCCGGACTGGGGCACGAACCCGTGTCCCCTGCATCGGCAGGTGGACTCTCAACCACTGCGCCACCAGGGAAGCCCTCATTGTGCTTTTGATTTGTATTTCCCTAGTGGCTAATGATGTTGAATACCTTTTCATGCGCTTAATGGCCATTTGTATATCTTACTTTGAGAAATGTCTATTCAAATCCTTTGCCCATTTAAAAATTAGGTTATCCTTTTATTGTAAGAGTTCTTTATATATTCTGGATCCAAGTCACTTACGAACTATATGATTTGCAAATATTTTCTCCCATTCTGTGAGTTGTCTTTTCACTTTCTCAATATTGTTCTTTAAAGCACAAAAGTTTTTAATTTTATCTATGTTTCTTTTGTTGCTTATGATTTTGGTGTTTTATCTAAGAAACCATTGCCTAATCCAACGTGATGGAGATTTATTCATATTTTCTTCTAAATGTAAGTTTTATTGTTTTAGCTCTCAAATTTAGGTCTGTGATTCATTTTGAGTTAATTTTTATGTATGGAGTGAAGTAGAGGCTCAGCTTCATTCTTTTGCATTCAGATATCTAGTTGTCCTAGGCCATTGGATTATCTTGGCACCCTTAAAGAATATCAGTTGACCATAAATGTAAGGATTTATTTCTGGACTTTTAATTCGATTCCATTGATTTATACATCTTTCCTTGTGCTAGTATCACATTGTCTGATTACTGTAGTTTTGTAGGAAGTTTTGAAATCACGAAGTGTGAATTCTCCAAGTTTGTTCTTATTCAAGGTTGTTTTGACTCTTCTGGTGCTTGCATTTTCTTTCTTTCTTTTCTTTTTTAAAATATTTATTTATTTATTTTATGGCTGTGTCAGGTCTTAGTTGTGGCACGCGGGCTCTTCATTGCAGTGCACATGTGGGCTTCTCTCTAGTTGTGGTGCACAGTCTCCAGAGCACGTGGGCTCTGTAGTTGTGGCGTGCAGGCTTAGTTGCCCCACGGCATGAGGGATCTTAGTTCCCGGACCAGGGATTGAATGGGAGTCCGTGCATTGCAAGATGGATTCTTAACCACTGGACCACCAGGGAAGTCCCCCCTTGCATTTTCATATGAATTTTAGGATCAGCTTGTCAAGTTCTACATAAAAAGATCCGTCTGGGATTTTGATAGAGACTGTGTTGATCTGTATTATGAATCTGTAAATCAGTTTGGAAACTTTACAATAGTAAGCCTTCCAATCCATGAACATTGGAGGTCTCTTCATTTATTTAGGTGTTCTTTAATTTCTTTCAATGATGTTTTATAATTTTCAATGTATGTGTTGTGCTTTTTTTGTCAAATTTATTCTTAAGTCCTTTACTCTTTTTCATAGTATTGTGAATGGCATAGTTTCTTTACTTTTGTTTTTGGATTGTTCATTGCTGGAGTATAGAAATGTAATTGATTTTTAAATCGTGCACCCTTGCTGAACTCTTAGTTCAACTATTAGTTCTAGTAGTTATTACTTAGAATTTTTTTATATTTAATATCTTGTCATCTGCAAATAGTGATAGTTTTATTTCTTCCTTTCCAATCTGGATGCCTTTTATGTCTTTTTATTACCTAATTGCCCTGACTAAAACCTTCAGCACAGTGTTAAATAGAAGTGGTGAGAGCAGTCATCCTCATCTTGTTCCTGATCTTAGGGGGAAAGAATTCAGTCTTTTAGCATTAAGTATGATGTTACCTGTGGGTTTTTCCTAACTGCCCTTTATCAGGTTGAGGAAGTTCCCTTTTATTCCTAGTTTGTTCAGTGTTTTTGTCATGAAAAAGTTAACATTTATTGAGACCTTTCAATATATGCCAGACCCTATGCTAAGACCCTATTTAATTTAATTTTCATCGTAGTCCTTTGAAATAGAGATTGTTATTTTATGTCATTGAGCTGGTAAATAGTAGAATCAGATTTCAGAACTTGTATGCTGAACGATTATCAATTAAATTCCCTGTACATACCATGCTGATTTATATGTGTGACTTTATACATTCTAGTTGCTGCCTCTTAGAATGCATGCTCCCTCTCTTTCTGCATCATGCAGCTACTGCAGCACTTTGTACCTATAACTGTCATAGTACTGTTTCACTGTGTTGTGATCGTTTGCATATATTTCTCTCATTTTAGAATCTGTGCTCCTTGAAGTCAGGGACTTTGTCGTATACATCTTTGAATCTCCAATGCATATCGTAGAGATAGAAGAGAGATGTGTCACAGAAGCCAGGGGATTAGAGGGTTTCAAGAAGAGTGTCAGGAACTTCCCTGGTGGCTCAGTGGTTAAGAATCTGCCTGCCAATGCAGGGGACACAGGCTTGAGCCCTCCGGGAGGATCCCACATGCCGCAGAGCAACTAAGCCTGTGCGCCACAACTACTGAGCCTGCGTTCTAGAGCCTGCGAGCCACAGCTACTGAAGACCATGCACCTAGAGCCCATGCTCTGCAACAAGAGAAGCCACCACAATGAGAAGGCCACGCACCACAACGAAGAGTAGCTCCCACTTGCCGCAACTAGAGAAAGCCCGCGTGCAGCAACACAGCCAAAAATAAATAAATAAAAATTTATTTAAAAAAAAAAAGAGT